TTTAAGACTTGGCTCAAATCCCATCTTTGAAAGAGGCCTTTCCTAGTCTCTCTCCTGCAAACACACACACACACACACACACACACACACACACACACACACACACACACACATTTACTATTTCCTCCTCCAGCTCATTTTACAGATAAAGAACTGAGGCAAACAGGGTTAAATGACTTGCCCAGAGTCACATAGCTAGTTTAAGTGTCTGAGGCTAGATTTGAACGCAGGTCTTCCAGAGGACAGACCTGGCACTCCATCCACTGAGCCACCTAGCTGCCCTTCTGAGATTATACTCCATTTATAGCATCTGTATCTTTTTTTTTTTTTAACATGTATTAGAATGTGAGTTCCCTGAGGACCAGGACCATTATTGCTTTTGCCTCCCCAGTATTCAGCATAGTATCTGGCACATAGTAAGGACTTAATAAGTACTTACTGACCGTTCTACTTGTAGACATCTTGTCTAACCCCCTTACTTTATAGCTGAGGAAAATGAATCCCATGGAGATTAAGTGACTTGCCCAAAGTCACACAATTAGTAAATTAGTTTCAGGATTTAAACAAAGATCCTTAGACTCCTGAAACATTGCTCTTTTCACTGTATTTTGCTGCCTTTCTCAATAATTTATGATTGAAAATATCTAACATAAAAATAAGTATATTTCAGCTATCTACTTTTGTTAGTGAAGAAGAGTAGCTGGGACAAAACTTTAAGCCAAGTATTAAATATTTAAAAATTTTTTCAATTGTTGAAATAAATTTCAAGTAAAAATACCATTTGAGGAATTACCACCACCTTGGTAGAGGCACTCATCATCTCATGCTTTGACTACTGAAACAGCCTCTCGGTTGGTCTGCCTAAAGTCTCTCCCCACTTCAGTCCATCCCCTATTTAGTTGTCTGATTAATGTTCCTAATCACAGATCTGACCATATCACCTTCCTCCCCATTCAACCAACTTCAGTGGTTCCAGGATCAGATATAAAATTCTCTGTTCAAAGCCCTTCATAATCTGGCCCTCTCCTACCTTTCTAGTTTTCTTATACCTCTCTTCCCCTACCCATGCCTCACCTGAACTTAGCATATTATATGGTTACTAATAAGAATTTTAAATGACTGCCCCTCCCCCAAATGAGAATATCTCCATGTTTTTCAGGTATACAGACCACTTCAGGTAGCTGACATCCAATCTGTACTGCTTCACTTGATGTCTATACCAGGGTACTTTCCAGCTCTAGAATTTTAGCACTAAAAGAGGCCTATTACTGATGTTGGGTTTACAGCAAAGAGCCTTGTATGCTCAGAAAATGTCATCTAAATTGACCCAAGAAGCCTAAATTCTTCAAGCTAGGAGAACAGTCAAGACAATGATCTAATCCAACTCTGTTGCTGTCTAGGAGAGACAGCCAGCAGACTATTGCTCCCAAAAGGCCTAGGGGTTGGTTAAGAGTTCACAGGTCACCTTGACATTTATTTCAATGTTTAACCACTCTTCAAAGGAAGATATTTTCCTGGATTTTTGTTTGAGATTCGTTTTTGTTTTCTGGGAATAAGACCTTTGATTTCACTGGTACAGGGAACTCTCAGTACAGAGACTCTCTCAACAAATATAAGTTGGCACCTACTCGGTAACTTACAGCCTTAAAAGGGTTGCCTGGGGGCAATGAGACATAAAGTGATTTACCAGGGCCACATGGTTGACATATGAATCCAGGTCTCGCAGACATTGAGGCTAATTCTCTATCTACCAGGCCAGTGGTGTCAAACTCAAATAGAAATGGAGGCCACTAACAATGCCCCCTCCTCAATTTGTACATAAAGATCCCTGCAAAGCATATTGATTTAGTTTTTTAATGTACTGTTATTTATGTTTTAATATAGTGCTTATTTTGTTAAATAATTCCCAATTACATTTTAATCTGGTTGGGCATACTGGTGAAAGGAATATGGCAGCATGCTGCCATGAGTTTGACACTTCTCTTCTAGGTCACGTTGATTCTTTCTTTGTATTAATTAACTCAGATCTCTCAAACATATTTTTTTTGTTCTGCCCCATTGCAGATCGAAGAACAACTAGTTTCTATGCTCCTTATAATCTTCCACATACCTAAAGGCTATCATTAAAAACCTTTCACTCAGTCTTTTTAACCCTGTAAGCCACAAAATCCACAACTCTGAAAATTTCTTCTTGGGTCCCCTCTTCCAACTTCATAATCCTTTTTAATCTTTTAATTTCTCTGGATAGCTGTTAGCCATCTTGACCTTTAAAAGTATATGGACAGGGGTAGCTAGGTGGCAAAGTGGATAGTGCGCCAACCCTGGATTCAGGAGGACCCAAGTTCAAACCTAGCCTCAGACACATAACACTTACTAGCTGTGTGACCCTGGGCAAGTCACTTAACCCCACTGCCTAGCCAAAAAAAAAAAAGTACATGGACAAAAGCTAGGGATAAGACTCAGAGACAACACAAAAACATCACCAAAAGGTTACTTCCCAATTCTTTCAAAATGTCTTTAAACCTACAAAATGTACTTCCCAAGAACTATATGGTAGCTGGAAGGAAAAGTAGTCACTGTAAGTATAGAGGGAGAGGATACAGGAGAGAAAACGGAATCAGAACTAAGGCAGTTCTGAGGAGAATTAGGCATAATAAGACAAGAACTTCCAAAGGCTGAGATGTTCAGCAGTCAAGTTCAAGAAGTTCCTATAGTAGTCTTTAGAGACCTTTAAAAACACTACCACTAAAAAAAAGTTTTCACACTCATTTCTTGTGATCCTCCCAAGCTCTATTTTTCCCTAGTATAATCAATCCACTTAGAATTTTGGAGCTAAAAGGGGCATTTGAGATCCCTAATACAATCCCTCTGTTTTGAAGATGAGAAAAATTATATCTAGAGAGTTTGTGATTCTATACAACTAATTAATTAGTGGTAGTCCTAGAATTAGAACCCAAGCCTCCAATGTTTTCTTTACTTCATTACAACAGGTTGTTTCCCCAATATCTAAGCATGCAAAGCATTTGAATTCTGAAAACAATAGTTAAACTATTGGGGGAGTGGGAGAAGCATCAGCAATTGGGTGAGACAGTATGGAGACAGACAGGGCAATGGTCCTTCTCCTCAGAAGGTCCTGAAACTTAAAAAAGATTGCCCTGTTAAAGGTGTAACATGAAGATAAAACTATCCAATCTCTCCATCTCTCTGTAACAGAAGCAGGGGGAGGGTTGGCCAATGAGCCCAATCTTTATGAACACACAAGAGGATGCTTTCCCCGAGTAGACTTAAAGAATGAGCAGGAATATAATGATTTAAGACAATTCCAAAAGACTCATGATGGAAAATGCTATCCATACCCAGAAAAAGAACTATGGAATCTAAATGCAGGTCGAAGCATATGATTTTCTCTTTTAATTTTTTTCTTTTTCATGGTTTTTCCTTTTGTTTTGATTCTTTGTTAACAACATGATTAACTTGGAAATATGTTTAATATAATTGTACATGTATAGCCTATATCAGATTGCTCGCTGTCTTGGGAAGTGAAGAGGGGAGGGGGAAGGAGAAAGAGGGAGAGAGGAAAAATTTGGAACTCAAAATCTTATAAAAGTAAATTATGAAAACTATCTTTACATGTAATTGGAAAAAATAAAATACTATTAGGCGGGAAATAAATAAATAAATAAAGGAATGAGCGGGTATTTTTTTTTCTCATCTGCTAACCACTTGAAGAAGAGAAGCCTTTCTAATTTGCTGCTGAGCCACTGAGGATACTTACAAAAAATTTCTTCCCAAGGGGAAACTTGTCAAACCTATGACCAAGAGAAAAACATGCTCCAAGGGAGGTACTTCTGGGCAGGGAGAGAGGCCTCAGACCTTAATTTCTTCTCTCAAGTCCACATATGGTCATAAATTTTGCCTTTTTTTTTTTTTATTGTTCCTGCTCCTAGGTGAAGACTAGGCTGTATAACCTTGTGAGTTCTGAAAGGCTGGGAGATCAATGTACTGATAGTCCAATGGCTGGATTTTGTGGACAGACGGCCGAGGCTGGTGAGGAGCAAGGACTCCAGACCTGCTTGATCCAGCACAGAAGCAGACTGAAAGTAACCAAGAGGGAGTAACTCCAACTTATACATCACCTACGCCACACTGCAGGGTGAACTTGGCGTGGCAAATGCTATGTAGAAACTGCTTTAAGTTTGAGCCCACTATCCCCAGGGACCAAGGTGGAATAGGAGGGAGTAAGCTCCTGGATGGTGAAGGGAAAAATCTATATGTCTGTTCTTACTATATCTTCCTAGTAAATGTACCTTTGTAAAAGCTAATTGATGTTAATTTGGTTAAATACCAGGGCACTAATCACTGGAATGTAGTAATGATATAAAGGAGATTCTATCACTGACAATTTATATTAAAGAAAATTAGGTTTTAATTGGGGTTCAAGCCAATAGCATTAGAAAAAGACAATTGTTTACTGCTCAGGGGTATCCCTAGAATACCCTCTGGGGTGAAAGGGGGGAGTAGGGATCAAAGTCATCTGTAACAACTGGCCTAAGGAACCTCAGAACCTACAAAAACTACAAGCTTTCTCCCCATCCAAAGGCTAAAGAATACATGTCCTCTATCATGTCCAAAGAGGAAAAAAAGAAATGCTTTAGCCAGTTAGTTACCTTTTGTAAGCATTCTCATTTCTGGTTCAGCTGCCAATGTTTCTCACCATGGTAGGCAGACCAGCATCAATACCTGTTCATGCTCTGAAGTCTAGGTGGGGATGGCTCATAAGGACCATGCATACTGGCCAATTTCTCTTCCCACCCCCCCAACCCCATTACATCTCCAGAGAAGGATCCTACTTCCTTCAAATCTACAGCTTCAAACATCAGGTAGTATTAGATCAACAGGCTTCAAGTTCCACTAAGGCAGACCTAAGGAAAAGTTTTGTAATGTGGATTTTATTTTACAATTTCCAATTAAGGTTAAAAGTCTAAGGACTTAATACTTACTGTGTTTTTCTGAGTGACCATATCCTGAAAGAAATGAACACAAACAGGATAAAATCAAGACATGCTTCTAAAAAGCAATTTATAAGGGCAGCTATTCACCTACCTGCAATAAGAGCCTGTAACTGCAAACCTCCCTAAAAATTTAGAATATGGCCCTGCAAATATTATATTTTTTAGCTAGGGTATTCTCATTCTTAACTGCATAGCTTTCGGACCAAACTGCTGGCTAGAGTTATTTAAAGTAATGGAAGTTCCCCTACTCCATCGTTTTTCCCTTACAAGTTTTTGGGTCTCTGGCCTCATAACCTTTTCGTCATGAGGTGGTGCCATTTTGATGCCAGATCAGCTTCTAGCATCGGATAGTAAGTCCTCCTTGAGAAGAACAGATTGGGGGGGAGGTTAATTCCCCATTAGAATTCTGAGGGCTCCACCAGGATATACCTATTTTAGTCAGTTAATTAAGCAAAATGGTTACACAGCAGTTGAAACACATCAATTAAGTAGAAATGGAAACCAACATTTATCTAGAGGGGAGAAAATGATAAATAGCCATTGTTTCCATAAATTCCCTCCTAAATCTCTATGGAACACTTTTCAAATGCCTTGAAATTTCTAGTCTCCAAAGAGGAGGCTAGAAAGAGGGGACTAGCAATAATTTCTGGTATCATAATTAACTATTCAACCCTATTTCATTAAAATGACTTTTTTCTAGTTTTTATCTAGCTTATACAACTTTTCACTGAGCTCCATAACTATCTGCTAAAATGGAGAATGAGACATACTAAATTCATATAATTTCCTATATTAAAAAACAGCACAACAAAGAATGTTACCCTTGTATCTACAGCTACCAAACTACAAATTTAACAACCTTAATGAAACTCAAATTTGTCTATACATTGGTGCCATTTGGATTAATCTGAATATGCTTCAACTTCTTGGAAACCAATGTAGAATTGAAATTATAGAAATTAATTGGTTTCTTTGGTTATAATTGTATGGATTACCCAATTACTGAAATGTTAATAGCATATTAATATAGTTTGGACCTGGGACATGCCAACTTGGACATTAAATTTTTGAAGTAAGAACTTTCTGAAGCTTACAACTATACTAGGTTACTTAGTATGTGCGATATACTAAGAATATTTTAAAATCTTTAGTAGTTTCTGAGTAGTGTACAATTTATCCATTTTATTTATAAGGCTAACCATAAATCTAATTTTTCTAAATATGGATATTGAAAAATGGTTGGGAAAATGGCAGAAGCTAATATTTTCTACCTTTTTTGTATAATTGCTTGTATCATCATCATCTAATTAGCTAATCTGTAGCTGGAGATATGGATGAAATCACACACTAAAGGAATGGTGCAATTTCAAGTGGGTGGGGCTCTAGCTGTAAATTATCCACCTTAGTAAGGGCAGCACAAATGAGTGGAAGGTATTGCCTCAACCTCTATAAGTTAGACCTGTATACATTTTAATCATTCAATCAACATCTATTAAGTGCCTACTATGTGCCAGGCACTGTGCTAAGTACTAGGGATACAAAAAAGAGGCAAGACCATCCTTGTCCTCAAGGAGCTTATAATCTAACAGGAAATACAACATGTAAACAAATATACAGCACAAGCTACATAACAAGATAAAGCAGGAATACACTAGAATTAAAAGAGGCTAGAGAGGCTTCCTGTAGAAAGTGGGATTTAGTTGGAACTGAAGGGAAGCCAGAGAGGTCAGCAGTCAGAGTGGAGGAGGGAGAGCATTCCAGGTATGGGGAACAGGCAGAGAAAATGCCAGGAGCTATGAAATAGAGTGTGGCACCACTAGGAGGCTACTTCCCATTATATAGTTCCTAATGAGTCAAGAAATCATAAATAACTTCCCAGAAGTTCATTTGCACTCCTTGAAAGAACTCTGCTCAGTGGCTGTGAGAATACACCTTCAGAGCAAAGATTCTCACTATGAAGACAAATTCTTTTTGCTAGACCAAACCTCTGGTACTGTGGGACTAAATTTACATCTATATCATTCCACACAGTCGTCTTCTTCAACTAGAGCTGGATTCATCACTGTCCTTGGCAGAATTTCACTCACCCAAACTGTGGCATATAGAAGGATCTGAAAAGCATACTTTACCTTAAGTGAGAGAGCAGTATCTGCATCCACATCGTAGTAGAGTATAACATTATTGGCCATGTCAAAGCTTTCCCGTACACCAAGGTGATAGAAGAGTGACGGCTGTCTGGAAATGTCACTCATATCTACCACAGCAACATCTAAAATAATTGGGAATAAGGCAGGGAAGGAGAAGGAAGAGCATAGGAAAGGTCATATAGCTTACTGATACAAATCCAAATAAATCAATAAACATTGATTAAGAGTCAAGAGCTGTGAATACCTGCCTTCAGGAGGCTTATTGTTGTTCAGTTGTATTTGACTCTTCATGACCCAACTTGGGGTTTTCTTTGCAAAGATACTGAAGTGGTTTGCCATTTCCTTCTCCAGTTCATTTTAAAGATGAGGAAAGTGAGACAAACAGGGTAAAGTGACTTGCCCAGGGTCACATATCTAGTTAAGTGTTTGAGGCTGGATTTGAACTTAGGAAGATGAATCTTCCTGATTTCAAGCCCAGCACTCCATCCACTGTGCCACCTCGAAGCTTACATTCTGCTGTTCCCTTTCTCAGTTTCTCACAAACAGTAATGAACTGCAGTTTGTACTTCTGCTATGAGCCATGATCATACAGAGCTAAGGAATGATTGAGTTTAAATTTCAATATTAAGCAGGGTAGATAAATTTCAATATTAATTAGGGTAGTTAAATAACAGTAAAACAATATCTTAATAATAATATTAATAGCATTTTTATACTGCTTTAAGGTTCGCAATGTACTTTACAATATTTATCTCATTTGACTCTCTCAACAACTCTAAGATGGTAGATTCTATTATCATCTCCATTTTACAGATCATAAAACTGAGAAAGAATTTAAATGACTTACCCAAGGACATCTAGCTAGTAAGTCTCTAAGTCTGGAACTGATCTCATGTCTTCCTGGTTTAATTTCCTTTTTAGCATGCTTCTATAACCATGAAGCAGGCACTCAAAGATACGAATTAATTTTTAATGTTTACTTAGAAGTGAGAATGAAAAATTGTCCTCTATTTTTTTTTGGAATTCAATTAAATACTGGCTGCAATAAGTTTTAAACCAGTTAGAATGTATGCTCAAAATCCTGCCTTCACAAAGAAGTAAATGTTTACATCTCTACAAAATCCAAGGTATCAACATAGAGCTTTAAGACCTAATCAAAATGTACTGCTCTCCAGAAATCAGAGCTGCCCCCTGGTTTTCTTCTGTGTTGGACCATATTCACCCTGAGGGGATATTAACATATTTTCAATTAAAACAGGATTTTAGCTAATATTAAATTAATCCTATGAAACAGAGGGGTCAAATTCACAAATACTAGGATTATTTAAGGAACTCTTAAAAAGTTATTCATTAGATTCTGGGCTTCTTGATGGCAAGGACCATATTTATCAGAATTTGGATAACATCTGTTTTCATCAAGCCAGAATTTCTTACGATAAAGTTAATAGTAATTAAAATAAAATCAACATTCTTTGCTATCTGTCCTTTCCACCCTGTGTTAGCCAGATGATAAGCATGGAGAGATGAAATCTAGAGCAAAGAAACATAGAGGTCTTCTAAACATCTATAGTCTCTCCTATTTCAGAATGAAACCAAATTGATTTTTAAAATGATAGTGAAGTAGTGTATGTATGGGGGGGGGAAGCACAAGAAGGAAGTACTTGTGTATAATAAGTGTATTAGCCATCAAAATTCAACAACTTAAGGGGTTTATGAAAGTCAATATCTAAAACTAAAAATTATGGATTTAGGATATATATGTATATTTATCAGACACAAAGTTTATTGTTGTTGAATCGTTTCAGTCCTGCCCGCCTCTTCATGACTCCATTTGGGGTTTTCTTGGCAAAGACTGGAGTGGTTGGCCATTGCCTTCCCCAGCTCATTTTACAAATGAGGAAACTGAGGCAAACAGGGTGAAGTGACTCGCATCCCCTTAATTTCCAATTCTTTGCCACCACAGAAAGAGCTGCTATAAATATTTTTGTACATGTGGGTACAAACTTTTCAAACAAAACTCTTTTAATAGATATATACAGCCAAACAAAACAAATTTCTCATTAAATCTCCAAAATCTTCAAAAAAATTTTTTGAAGCAAAAAATGTGGTGAGATATCATTTTATATCTGCTCTTCAGATTGTAAAAAAGTGAAAACTTAACAGGAATTACTCAGGTTTAGTCAGTCAAGTATTGACTGAATGCCACACAAATGCCAATCTGCACCCAGCGCCCATCATCACCTCTCTGTCAGGAGGTAGAAAGCCGGCTTCATTATCAGTCCTCTGGAGTCATGGTTGGTCTTTGCCGACGTGACTTTTTAAACTTCTTATGAATCTGACTGGGAAAGGCCAAGGTTCAAAGTAAGCACCTTTAGAGGGATTCTCTGTGTAGAAGTATGGAACACTGCATATACTGTTAGAGTCAGAGATAGGTTGGATAGTTCTGCTGACCTGCCTTCTCCCACCACTATCCCCCAATACCACACACCCCCCCACCCTACCCAGCCCTTTTCCTTTTTCTCTTTTTGTTGCAAAGTGTGGCCTTCTGGGAAGCTGGGGGGGAGGAGGGGGACATACAGTGTGTCTCAAAAGTCTTAGTGCAGTTCTCAGCTGGAAATAAAAGTGATGTGTTAAAAAAAACAAAGTCAAATTACCCATTAAAAAATGATAAACTCCAAGGATAGACTAAAAATAGTAAACTCCATTCTAGCTAGTGATAAAAGAGGTACACCATATTATTTCACCCCAGAGGTAAAATAGTACTATAGACTATAAATGTTATTTTTATTTAAACACATCTGCCACATAAAATTATGTGTGCAATTTTCCCTCTTCCCATTTGTCAAATAATTATCAAGTTTCTAAAGCAATTAGGCAACTGAGGCAACTATATGGTAGAGAATCATTTACCATATTCTGAGACTATATTGGCTCACACTAGTTTTTAAATATATTCAGGGTCATCTAGGGACCTTGCTTCATTCTCCAACCAGTAATATATGCATTTGCATTGATCTAATGGGAAGCAGTGCAGGGTACCGAAAAATCATCCCATATTTGGAGTCAGAGAATACACCTTCAAATTCTACTTGGATGAAGTTAAGGAAGCACTTGGCCCTCTTTGAGAGTTGGTGTCCTCATCTGCAAAAATGAGCTGCTATTAATCTCAAAAATATTTGATATGCTATATGAATGTTAGCTATTGTTACCACCTAGGTAACTTCAAGGACACAAACTGTGTCCAGGAAGCAAACACGCACACAGGTATGACCCTATAGTTTTTTAAAAAAATATTTTATTTTATTTATTCTGAAACAGAATAATGTGTCTGCCATACCAACAATATTAATGCCTGGATTCCTAAGTGTCTAGACTAACTAAAGCCTACTGAGAAAAGAAAAAGAAAAAAACTCATAATTTAATAATAAAGAAGCCAGGTAAGATAACTTTTTTTTAAACCCGAAATTTTTTTAGTTTAGAATCTAGAGCTAGATGAAGTCTTAGAAGTCATTTAGCCCAACTTCCTAATTCTACAGATGAGTAAATAGACAGCCAGCAGCTAGGTGGCTCAGTGGATAGAGCGCTGGGCATGGAGTCAGGAAGACCTGAGTTCAAATACAGCCTAAGATGCTTACTAGCTGTGTGACCCTGGGCAGGTCACTTAACCCTGTTTGCCTCAGTTTCCTCATCTTTAAAATAAACTGGAGAAGGAAATGTCAAAGCATGCCAGTATCTTTGCCAAGAAAACCTCATGGATAGTAATGGCCCACTACATGATAGAGAGTTGGGGACTTGATTCTTAAATTGCTTCATGACATAAGTAGTCAGGCACAGTCAGGACTCAAACCCAAAGCCACAACACCAAATCCATGGTTTGTGTGTCTACAAGCCACAAATGTGGCAAGAAATGGTCTCCAATTCTTCCTCCCCTAATTAAGTTCTTCTGATCTCCTTCCTTATGATATCAGGTCAACAGGGCAAGAAGGTTGTTAAATGTCATTTTACACCTGCTCTTCAGATTGCAGGGAGGTTGAAAATTTAATGGGAATTAGTCAGGGTGGGTCAGTCAGTCAGTCAAGTACTGAGCACCACCCCTGGTGACAAGGTATGTGTTAGCTGCTTGGGATTCAGAGCTGGAGGTACATCATACCTCAGAGGCTCTCAGAGCTGGCCTTTCTCTGAAATCTTGGTATCTGTTTTTGATGGGCTAGAGGAGAAAACACTAAGAACCAGGGAAAGCAGAACTGGGTGTAGGCAAAGGCAAGCCACTTCCCGGTTTCCAGAGCTACATCTCAAAAATGCCCATGGAGTGAGGTTGGGGGTGGGGAGCAGTATGCAGTAAGATTGAGCTGGAGTCAGGAGGACTCAGGTTCAAACCAGGCTTCAGATAACTTTTCTGGCTGTGCACCTCTGCCCAAGTAAGTCACCTAACCCCAATTCCCTCCCCCCAAAAAAATGCACATTGGATAGATGAAATTTAACTTCTAAAAATTCAATTTCCTTTTAGAATAGAGCAGTAATACATTTAAAATTGTCCCCAAATAGTAAGATCAAGGAAAGGGCACAGTGGGTAGAAAGCTGGCCTCAGACCCAGAAAGACCTAGGTTCCAGTCACACCTCTGACACACACTGGCTGTGTGACCCTGGATAAACCACTTGACCTCTCAGTGCTCTAGACCAGAAGTGTCACACAGCCCACGATGCTCCTGAGTACCAGTAGAACCACATTAAAATGTAATTGAGAAATATTTAACAAAATAAATAGAAATACAAAAAAAAAACCAGATAATATTACATGCTAAAACTAAGTTAGGAGCCCAGTTCTAAACTGCAGCTCCCATCTTTCTTAGACCAACTCTGTGAGGCCGACATAAGAAATCTGTGTTTTGTGCTAATCCATAGCCAACATTATTTATGCCTTTTCTTTTGGCAAGATCAACCAAAAGAAACAGGCTGTAAAAAATAAACTTTTTAAAAAGTCTTAAATTCTCTCTTTTTTTCCCCATTTCTAGCACTGGCCATGTTGGAGATTGCTGAGATAAAAGACAGACACAGAAAATTAATCAGAAACTACAAAAAACTTACTGGAAACCAAATTTGTGAGAAAAAGGAAAATTAATTT